CGCAGCACCCTGACCGAGCTGGAGGTGCTGGCGGCAGGAGCCCTGGCTCTGGGCACGAGTCACCGTGTCCCCAGCGGCGGTGGCACGACTGAGACTGTTGATACTCTGAATAACACCAAGGTTTCTGCAGCCAAGACAATCCCTCACCCGGTACTAGAACAGGACTGTAACCCTAAGCAGGGCCTTAAAACCCAGCTCGTGAATTGGGAATTCAAAAATTCCTACCGCTTGTCCACCCGATACCATGCAAAAAATGGTTATAATTACTTTTGGTAATTTGTCTGCCTTTTTTAAACTCTTCCCTCTCCCTCGACCTCCCCACCTGTTTTGACCGGTTTTAGAAATCCTGAGCAATCGGAGGCAGCTCCAGCCAGGACCACCGCGAACACCGGACAGCAAGAGGCGGTGACCGGCTGGTGCCAGCGCCAGTGCCGTCACCAGACCGAGGAGTTCAGAGAGAACAGTCTCACACACACCTTGTTTCCAACTCCTGCTGTGGGAGAGCGAAGCGTACACAGATGGCATCAACCGCGCACACCAACACACACATGCACAGGGATGCCCGACCCGACCCACTGCCTCTCGGACCCTATTCAAGCGACTGCAGAGAACGTGGGAAATCGGGTCGTTTCCCTTCCTAAGCTAAACTATGGGGTTCTGGCTAATTTTTATTAGTGAGGTCAGGAATACATTCCCGTATCTAAAGTGTCAGCTGTAAGAACTCTTTTCAGGATAATTTTAAAGTAGCAGTTTGGGTTTATTCCTCTCTGCCTGCACTTACTTGGCAGGTGAGAGTGGAAAGCGGCCTGAAGCAAAGCAGTGGACGTGCCCGGACGCCAGCCCGCTCCTCTTCGGCAGCCGACCCGGCTCTGCCACGTGCCGGGGCAGCCGCAGGGGGTCCCTCCGGCCGGCTCACCTCCGAAGAGCAGAACTGCTCGTGGGACAGCACGATCCAGCTCCCCAGCCTGGGTAAGCTGTGCAAGCGAGAGTATTTTTGCACGTAACTGTAGCCGTCCGAGGGTTTTTGCTCGCACAGATCTGCTGGTGTCTATTTCCAGGCAGGCTCAGCGCAGGAGAGCAGAACTGCTTGTCTGCTGGGACAGCACGATCCAGCTCCCCAGCCTGGGTAAGCTGTGCAAGCGAGAGTATTTTTGCACGTAACTGTAGCCGTCCGAGGGTTTTTGCTCGCACAGATCTGCTGGTGTCTATTTCAAAAACACAACTGCGCTGGCTGAAGTTTTAAGCACAGATCAAGCTTTTGAGCACGTTTTTGCTGTTGGTAGTGTGACGTGAACCACGGGGAGCATGCAGGCTGCGAGGTCGGGAAGCACAGCACCGCAGGTGACGGACCCAGAGCCTGCCCTCGGTGGAAGCATCTCCACTAACTTAAGGGCTCTGAGTCAGGCTTGACAGGACAGAAAAGTCTTCTCAAAACTACTACATAGAAAACCCATTTGCTATTTTGTTCTGTAGTATGGTTACCAATAACTAATATTATTCAACAACAGAAAAGATTTCTTGTAAACTTCATATTTATTGATTTTTTTGGGACAAATTAGATCTTCTGAATCCCAAAGTGTACATATATATATTTATATATAGCTTTCTCCATAGGGAAAACACATATATCAAAGGAGGAGAGACATTTCTAAAGTGCCCCTTGTTATACAGTACTGAACATGATTTCTAAGAGCATTAGCGTAAATCCGAA